CACCACACACGCACACACGCACACACGCACACACGCACGCACGCACGCACGCACGCACGCACGCACGCACGCACGCACGCACGCACGCACGCACGCACGCAAACGACTCCTTGCATGCCCCAAGATGTTTTGTTGGTTCGGGATGTTCGTCTCCCTCCCCCCCCCACACACACACTTCCTAGATCTTACCAGAATCCCATGGGCACCGCCGATGCTTGGTGCCTGTGTGTTGTTTCCCCCCCCTGAGCCCTGGCGCTTCGCTGTGCGCTCGCAAGCCAGGCCGGCCCGGCGCCGGGCCCGCCTCCACGGCCTCGCGCAGCACGTCCGCCCTCAGCCGCTCCAGCCCCTTCCTGGCCGCGTCGCCTGGTGGGCCGCCCACCCCCTCGCGCGGCGGCCAGCGGGAGCCTCCACGAGGCGGGGCTCTGCCCAGACCCTCCCTCGAACCTGGAGACTTCTCGGCGGCGAGCGAGGGGGGGGAAGTGAGAAGGAGTAGGCCCTCTCAGGAGGCGGCGGGGCTTCTCCGAAGCCCTCGCGCCTTCTGAGAAGCCTTCCGTGCCTTGGGGGAAGGCTCAGGAAACCTCTCAGAGGGCTGGGAGACTTCCGAGACTCCTGAGAGGGCCCGCCCCGTCTCATTTCCCCACCCTGGGCTCGCCGCCGAGCTTCGTTCCCCGCCCCTGGCGGCGCAAAAGAGGGCGGCAGTGGGAGGAGGCTTCTCAGAAGGATGTTCCTTCTCAGCAGGCGCCGGCCCTACACCCTGCGAAATGTTTTAGAAATCATGGGTTCAGAAATTCATAGTCTCAGAGTTTGAATAAAAACCCAGCGTGTCTATTCAAATTTTGGGATTTACATTGGATTATTAAGAGTGATCGAGACTCTGGCCGAAAACTTGGGTTTTCTTAAGCATCGCCTAGGGTGTACACCTGTAGCGCAACAGGCACGCGCCCTCTGAGAAGCAGGCGTGCTTCCGAGAAGACCTCCCCCCTCCCCCCGGACCCCCCGCAGCGCGTGGCCGACGGACCCCATCGGAGCCTCCGAAGCCTCGTCCCCCGGCTGCCCCGCGGACATCTGGCCCCCTTGCCGATCCCCAGCTGTTCTGGCCGAAGCTAGGGCTCCCAACTTCGCGCTTCGCGCTCCGCGAAGCGCGAAGCGCGAATAACTTCGCGCCCTCGCGCCGCCCCCCCAGAGGGAGAAGAGGAGGACGAGGAGGAGGAGGAGGAGAAGGAACGAGGACCGCGAAGCGCGAATAACTTCGCGCCCTCGTGGGAGCCCTTGCCGAAGGCGGGCGGGCTCCTGCCGCAGGTGAGCGCAGCGACGGCAGAGGCCGACGGCGGTCGCCGCAGCGGCAGCAACGCGGGGCGCGCGCCCGAGACGCGCGCCGAGGGCCCGGGCGCCGGCTGGCCGGCAGCGGCACCCGCGCTGCAAGGTCGGAGGGCGCCGGGCACGAAGCCGGACCCCCTCGGAGCCTGCCTCTGGCTCCAGGGGTCTGGGACCAGACCCCTGGAGCCAGAGGGATGGGCGCTCCTCCTGCTCTCCTCCTTATCCTCCTCCTTATCCTCCTCCTCCTCCTCCTTCTCCTTCTCCTCCTCCTCCTTCTTCTCCTCCTCCTCCTCCTCCTCCTCCTCCTCCTCCTCCTCCCCCTCCCCACCACCACCAGGACCGTGGCACGACAGATTTTCACATCCAACCCTGTCTTCGAGAATCTCCGAAACATCAGCCGCTCCCGAAACATTCGCAGCACACAGACATTCCCGGAGCTGGCCGAAACTGTCTGGACCAAAAACAATTGGCCGCCGGAATTTGGCGCGCCCAGATTCCCAGCGCCGAGGTTCTCAGAAATCGGCCTGCGGCGGCGCCCAGCGTGTCGTCGCGCGGCCAGGGTGGGGGCAACAGAAATCATGGGCGGCGATGGCCCCGACCGCGGTGTCTTGGCCCCCAGACCTGGACACGGCCGCACCCGAAACACGAATCTACTGCGCCTCCATGTGTCAACCACGCCCCCACATGCCAGTGCCCGCGCAAATCTGGTTTCCCCCACCGGCCCCCAAAAACAAATGGAGCGCCAACGCTTCCCTTGAGTTCCTCGCGCCGCAGCCTTCCCTCTCGGCCACTCGTGCGAATGCGCGCGCGGCGCTCCGCGAAGCGACGTTATAATTTTCTCTGGAGCTCCCTCGGGGCCTCTGGCCCCGATACGTCCTCGTCCATGGCTCGTCGGACGACGCCCCGAGACCCCCCCGAGAGGCAGCCTCGACCGAGCCCGTGCTTTTTCTTGTGGCGAGCTCCGCGCGCTCTCTCCTCCTCCTCCTCCTCCTCCTCCTCCTCCTCCTCCTCCTCCTCCTCCGCCTCCTCCTCCTCCTGCCTCTCCCCCTCCTCCTCCTCCTCCTCCTCCTCCTCCTCCTCCTCCTCCTCCTCCTCCTCCTCCTCCTCCTCCTCCTCCTGCATGTCGGACCTCCCCCCTGGAGGGGAAGAACCGGCGGCGAGCCCAGGGGGGAAGTGAGAAGGGGCGGGCCCTCTCAGAAGGCTCGGAAATCCCCCGGCCTTCTGAGAAGTTTTCCGAGCCTTCCCCGAACACAGAGAAGACCTCTCAGAAGGCCTCTGGCCTTCTGAGAAGCCCCGGCGACTTCTGAGAAGGCCTTCTCCTTCTCATTTCCCCCCCTCGCCCGCTGCCGAAAGAAACAGGGACCATGACCAGGACGGAACGCGGAAACGTCGTGCCGATCTTGGCCACTGTCGATCTTGGTCAGCGTCATTTCGTGGACAAGCTTTGCGAATCGGCGACGGCCGACATGGACCTTGACAAAAGATCGGCATCGACCGTGCCCCCTGCCTGTCACAAGAACGCCCTGGTCGACCTCCCAAGAAGTGCCCCGACCGGCTGAAACTTTAGCAGAGGCCGCGCATCCCGAGGGGCAAGCGCGCAAGGCAAGCGGGGCCCCGCCGGGGCCGCCATCCCCGCTCCCCGCCACATGAGGAGCAGCGGTAGAAGCGGCACCGGCAGATGCAGAAACACGGGCGGAAGAGCGGGCCCGTGATCGTGATGAAGATGCGGCCCGTGGCCGCAGGGATTTGTGCAGAGCCCAGAGCTCGACACTGGTCGCTACTGCATGCGTACTTCTCCGGAGGCCGCCGGCAGAGGAAGGTCGAGCACGGACAGACTGGTGCTGCAGAGCTGGTAAGTCACACGACGAAGAGCTCGCATCCCAAGGCTTACAGAGCACCCCAACACTGCGGCAGCAGTCGCGCGAGAGCTGGACGGCTGGGTTCAACATGGAGGAGGAGGAGGAGGAGGAGGAGGAGGAGAGAGGAGGAGGAGGAGGAGGAGGGCGGAAGAGGAGGAGGAGGAGGAGGAGGAGAGGAGGAGGGCGGGAGGAGGAGGAGGAGGAGGAGGAGGAGGAGGAGGAGGAGGAGGAGGAGGAGGAGGAGGAGGAGGGGATCGCCACGCCCAGGGTCGTGAAGACTTGCGAGGTGGCCTGCGGCACGGCGAGGACGGCTCCGCCCTGACCCATCGTGGGGCGGGATGGCTCGGCACCGGCCGACCCCGGGCCGCTGGCGGTCGGCCCACTGGCGGTCTTCAGGGCCTTGAACGCCAGCGGGCCTCTTCAGCCAGGTCAAATTGAAGGGGAACTGGAACACACAAATAAATACACACAAATAAAAATGTCCCCCATATTTTCCCATATTTTCTGGGTTTTTGTCTTCCCACCACTTCCCATATTTTTGCATATTTTCCTGGGAGTCGACGATTAATTGTGTCTGTGTGTTTCTTTCCCTGCTGATAAATGACGCCTTGACGGCGTGACGCCGTGACGCCTCCCCCTCGGGGCTGTCTGCGGGCCCTCGGCACGATTGCCTCTGCACCTGACACGGGGCCTACGACAGCATATCATAGAGCCCTGGACATGAAACCAGAGGAGCTAAACAGCCTGCGAACGTACGCCTCACGCATCGCGGAACGCGACCCGCTTCCCGCCGCCTTCAATGACGCTGCCGCGTACATCGGGATCGTGCCCATCGATTGGCATGTCGCATACGGCGTGAAGAACTCGTGCTCTTCAACATATCATCGACACTCCAAGGGCGGCCAACTAGCGAAGCTTAGCACACGTCATCGGCCACGTAAGTGCGAGCGGGTCGCAACTGCTTCCGTGAAGGACGGCGTTCACACGCAGCACAAGCCGAGCCCTTTCCGGAACGGCGCTGCCGCTGGCGAGCGTTGGAGGTGGCCAGGGGGTCTGAACTGGTTGAGATCCCAGAGAATCGGCCAGGAGGGGGGATGAAGCCACATCCGCTCAAAATGAATCCCCTGACCCCTCCAGAGGCTCATCTGGTACAGGTTTTCACCAAGGATGGCCCTTTGTGTTTTGTCGCTGTAGGTTACATTCCACCCGCCATGCTTTTAAATTGTGTGAGCGGGACCCCTCTCACCCCCAATCGCAGTCGACTATGTCTATGCTCCGTTGGTTGCGTGGCGGGCGACACCACAATGAAGGCACTCCCATAGGCGACGTCGTACCCGTGGATCGGGTATCGCCTGCTGTACCCCGTTCGTTTCACCCATTCGGTTTCACCCTTTTTGCGTCTCTTCTCTTTGCGTCCCAGGGCGTCCTCGGATAATCCTCGGCGGAGTCCAACCCCCAACATTTGTTTCAGCCATCCGTTTCTGGCGGTCCCGCAACCCGAAAGGGCTCCAGGAGGCCGAAAACGGCCAAAAACCTACTCGAACCCAGCGCCTCGAACCTCAGGTCGGGGGCTCGTAGAGAGGGGTTATCCCAGGGTGGGGCTGGGAGACGAACCCAGCTGGGTTCGGAGGAGGCGGAGGAGGAGGAGGAGGAGCAGGAGGAGGAGGATGAGGAGGAGGGGGAGAGGCAGGAGGAGAGGGAGGAGGAGGAGGAACAGGAGGAGGAGGAGGAGGAGGAGGAGCAGGAGGAGGAGGAGGAGGAGAAGGAGGAGGAGTGCTGGGCCAGAAGCAGTGCTGGCCAGAAGCAGCGCTGGGCACCTCAGACCCCCAGCCGGCTCCAAGCGGGCGAGCGGCCGCGGAGGAGCGTGGGGACTCCAGCGAGGCTGCGAAACGGACGTGGCCGTGCCTCGCAGGACACCCCTGGGCATGGTCGCCGTCTTCTCAGGGTGCACTCTGGCACGAACTGACCTGCTCTTGGACGGCCTCCGGGCCCAGGATAATTACCCCTTTGGAAGAAAGGGGCAACGAGCAGGGGGGCCTTGCAAAGAGGGGAAAACCACTGGCCCTCGTTGGCAAATCTCCGCGCTCCCAAGCGGGGTGGGGCTATAGCAGAGCGCCATCCGCGATCCAGGGGCGACTGGGGGTCGATGCGCTCCCCGCTGAGCCTTACCCCCCTCTGGTTGCCCCGGAGACCAGCCCCCTCGCGAGCCGCCGCACCGCCGCTCGCGCCTGGGCGGCGGCCCCGCGTCGGGCTCGAGCGCCATCGGGGGCGTGACCTCTCGCGCGGCAGGGGCGTCTGCGAGCTGCGGGCGCAGGGCCGGCTCCTCCGACCCCCGGGCCCGGCCGCTCAGGAGCAGGCGCGGCTCACGTGTCCAGCATCCCGCGGGCCACCTCCAGCGCCCGGCGCTTGGCGTCCTCCAGCCGCCTCCGCTTGCTCTCCCGGAGGGCCTCGCCCGCCGCCAGCTCGGCCTCCCTCATGCTCGCCTCCGCCTCGCGCACCCCCCGCGCCGCCTCCTGGGCCATCTGCTGCCTCAGCCCCTCCAGCTCGCAATGCACGCGGCCCTCTTCCGCGCGGAACATGCGTTCGAACGTGCGCTCCGTCTGAGCATCGTCTAACCGATCCCTGCCCCCACTGGCGTAGATGGGGTACAGGCTGCTCCCTTCGGGTCTCGAGGGGCATCTCCCCAACAGGGGGTGGTGGGGTGGTGGGGCCTGGGATGGGCGTGGGGACACGACCGCTTACACGACACCGACCGCCTCCAGCTCCCCCCGCCGCCTCGCCTCCAGCTCGGCCGCCTTCCGCGCCTCCTCGCCCTCCCTCCGCGCGGCCACCTCGAGCCGCTCCCGCTCGGCGAGCCGCGCCCGCCGCCGCTCCTCGGCGAGCCGCGCCTCCGCCTCGCGTCGGGCGGCCTCGGAGGCGCGCGCCAGGGCCTCCGCCAGCGTCTCGCCCCGCTGCCTCTCGAGCTCCTCGGCCGCCCTCCTCCGCGCCGCCGCCTCGGCCGCGCGCCTCCTCGCCGCCGCCTCTGCGGCACGCCTGCGGGCCTCCTCGGCGGCGCGCCGCCGCGCTGCCTGCGCGACCTGCAGCCTGGCCTCCTCCTCCTCCCCTCTCCGCCGTTCCTCGGCGTCCCGCAGCACCCTGGCGGCCTCCGCGTCCCCAGCGCGGGCCCTCTCGTCCAGGAGCTCGTCGGCGAAGCCCAAGGCGCGCCGCCGAGCCTCCTCCAGACGGATCCGGTCCTCCGCCGCCGCAGCGGCCGCGGTGGCCCGCGCGCAGCTGGCAGCGGCACCGATGGCCTCCAGAAGTCTCGACAGGACGGGGCCGGGCTCGAATCGCGCTCGGGACCTGGCATCCGATACCGACCGCAAAAGGCCCTCGATGTCGTCGTCGTCGTCGTCGTCGCAAGACCCCATGCCTGCCATCGCATTTGCCAGCAGCCCCCGCGCCAACCGCGTCGCCTCCTTTGCGCTGGGCCCAGTCGCGGGAAGCCGCGAGGCGATCGATGCCCCGCCGCCGGCAGCCTCTGCAGTGGCCAGGTACTCCCACGCAGTGGCGCTCCTCCCTGGCCCTGGCTCTGGCCCAGCACCGTCATGGACGAGCAGCGCCCCGTGCCACCCCAGGAAGTGCTGGATCTGGCAGACAACGTCTGCCTGGCAGCCAGCCCCAGGGAGCGGCCCCCAGACAACCACCCGGTCTGCGAGGACACTCGTGCGCACCTTCGCCTCCACCCGCACCTGCCCGAGCTGCTGCTGGAGCTGCCTGCTCACTCCAGACGGGAGCAGCAAGACGGCGGCGCCCGGGGCCACCAGCTCTCCGCGGAACTCGCCGAGGACCCGGTTGAGCGCCCCCAGCACTCGGCTCTTGTCCTGCCCCGCAGGCAGCGCCACGTACTGAATATCGTTTAACCGATCCCCATCCCCAGCGGCGTGGCCTGGGCCCCACCGGCCGATTTACCCCCCTACATGGGGATATAGGTCGTTTCCTTCGGGTTTCGAGGGGTGTAACCCCAACTGGGGTGGTAATTTGGTGGGGGTCTCGAAGGGGATGGAGATGGGGATGGGGGTCGGATAAACGATACCGACGTACGCGCTCGCTCGGGCGCCTGCCCGCTGGGGGTCTGGGCAGCGCAGCGGCAGGAAGCGCCCGCCAACGCCGGCCTCGGCCGCGGAGGCTCTCCGGAGGCCCTCCCACGCGGGTTTTCGTCCGCCCAGGGCTCGAAGTCGACGTACACCTTAGGCGATGCTTAAGAAAACTTGAATTTTCGGCCAGAGTCTCGTTTATTCTTAATGTTTCAATGTAAATCCTAAGATTTGAATAGAATTTTTGGGTTTTTATTCAACTTCTGAGACTATGAATTTCTTAACCCATGATTTCTTAAGCATTTCGCAGGGTGTATCCCAGTTGACTGCCGAAGTTGGCGGAGCAGAACTGCAGCACCTGCGAGCTCGCTCCGTTGATTCCCATGCCCGCGCTCCAGCGCCGGTGGTCATAGCGCAGCCGGACCTCGCGGTCGGACAGGACCGCACAGGCAGCAGCCACGCGCTGGAAATTCCCCTTGGCGAAGAGCTGCAGGGGGTTCTTGTCGGGGTGGTGCAGCCTGGACTTCAGCAGATAGGCCCGCTTCACATCAGAAAGACCTGCGTGCTCAGGGACGCCCAAGACGTCGTAGTGGTTGAGCTCTTCGGGGAACTGGAAGTCGGCTGGCACTGCTGGCTCTTCTGTGAGGGCCATGGTTGATGTGCTCCGCACGTTCCCTTCTAGACAATGGTATCATGCCGACCTGCTCTAGGACGCCTTCGAAGTACTGAGCAAAGCCAGAGGTAGGCTGCGGGCACGCGTATTCGCATGTTTTTGGCGTCGCGGCCCCGCGCGCAGCGACACGGCGTCCAACATACACATGCACATGCACACGGATACACGAATCGGCGTCCCCATGCCCATCCCCATCCCCAGGCACGAACGCATCTACATGCACAACCACGTGCATCTGCACATCCAGTGTGTGGTGGACCTGCAGTGAGCAAGCAGGGTCAAAAGAGCCTCAAGAGGAGCCCTACGAGGCCCCAACTGGTGGCACAAAAGCCCACAGGAGGGCCCGAGATGGCCCCGAGGGAGCGATGGATAGAGGGCGGGGGAGGACGTCGAGGCGGGGGAGGGGAAAATGATGGGAGGCTGGATTGGGGAGGTGGATGGGGGGCGAGGAGCAGGACGAGGAGGAGGAGAGATGGGGAGGCGAGGGGTGGCGAGAGGGGAGGGCGGGGATAAGATGAGAAGCTGGAGAGGGGGGTGGGGGAGGAGGTGGAAGAGGGTGCCGAGGGGGAGACGGACGCCGCGCCTGCCGCGCCAGCGGCGGAGGCGGCCGCCGTCTCGTTCAGCTGCTGAGCGGCGTCCGCGCGGAGCTTGCCCAGGCTCCTGCCCCGGGGGGCCGCTGCCCCGAGGCGCTCCAGAGGGGATGCCGCGGGGGGGGGGAGGGGGTCGCCCAGGGCGGGGCCCGCTCGCGGGGGGGGGGGGGGGGGGCGTGCCGAGGCCGCGCGCCAGGGCCTCGCGCGAGGAGGGCCTCGCGCGTGCTCGGCCGGGCGAGGGCCTCGCCCTCGGCGCGCCCTGCCTTCGGCGGAAAGGGCGGCGGAAGGGCGGCGGGAGGAGAACGGCGGCGGCGCCGCCGACGGGAGTGCGGGCGAGACGCCACCGTGTTGGGGTTCAGGGCTTCTGGGGTCGGCCGCGCGCGCCCAGCTACCCAGGGTGGGAAGCTGGGCGAGGGCTGCTAAAGCCGTGGCTGCTAAAACGGCCCTCCCGGAAGGAAAAAACAACTTCCCGGAAAGAGGCGCGGCACGCGAAACAGTCAACGGGCTTCTTCCCGGAAGGACGAAGACAACATCCCGGAGGTCGATTTTAGCAGCCACGGATTTCGCAGCCCTTGCCCGGCTTCCGACAGGGGCTGGCACGAGGATCGGAGAGCCCTCGGCAAGAAGAGGCAGTGCTCTCAGCCAGAGAATCCCACAAGGGGTGGCATGCAAGCGCCCCCCCGTCGCCCAGGCCTCGTTCCGCCGCGCAGGACTGCGCAACAGAACGGGGGCGTCCAAGAAAGGGGTATCCGAGAGGGGGGGGGGAGGGGGGGGGGGGGGGGCGCAAATCGTGGCCCGAGGCACGTGCGCGGCCCTGGGGGAAGGGGCTGGGGACGCACTGAACTGAGAAGAGGCACGATGAAATATGGGGAAAGTTCATGGCCCAGGCCATGGTCTTCCTGCTCCTTCCTGCCACCCGTTTCCTCCTCCTCCTCCTCCTTTTCCTCCTTTTCCTCCTTTTCCTCCTCCTCCTCCTCCTCCTCCTCCTCCTCCTCCTCCTCCTCCTCCTTCTCCTCCCCCCACCCCTCCTCCTCCCCTCGGCCGCTCCCGAATCCAGGCCCTCTCCCCGCCGAAGGCGAGGCCTCCTGTGGCTGTTCTGGGTTGTGCACGCCGTGCGCCAGTGCGGCCTCTTCGGGACCCCGTGGGGCAGCCGAGGGCAGGAAGGCAAGGCGGCGATGTGGGCCGACACCCCGAGCAGTGGAAAGAGCGCGGTGGCGTGGTGCACCTCCCCGCGCCACCCCGTCACCTAAGACGAAGCCAGGACGAAGATCAAATCGGTTAGGATAAATCGATAATCACTGAAATCTGTCGGTTCTGGTGGATATTTCGGGCACCGCGGCCTTCTTAGAACGTTCCGGAACGCTCTGATAGATTCCGGAACGCTTTGGAACGGATTTATCCTCGTCCTAGCCCCGCCCGGTCACCCACCTTCCAGCCCCCAGCCCTCTCGAGGCCGAGGGGGCGCCACGGAGAGGGTGAGAGGGGAGGGAAGACATGAATAAAAACAACTGCGCAAACGTAACCTTTCGGTGCGCACGGATTTTTCGGCGACTGGAGCGGCACCAGAGGCGCCGCCCACGGGGCTCCAGCCCTGATCCTAGCAATCCGCGCAGACCTCCGAGACATTCAGCTACTGCCACTTACTGCTCTTCAACAAGAATCGGGTCGAATATCGACTGATGTACAAGTGAATGCTGGACGTCGAATCTGCGAACAAAAAATTGTAAAATGCTCATAGAGCGACGAAGGTCCTGCGCATGTCCAATCAATCCGGCAATCAATTGATTCTGAGGTAACCAATTTTGCGCAGACAACTCGTGCAATGGTGATGCGCGATAAGGATGCAAGGGCCTTGGGACGCCTATGCCGAGGCTCTTCGAGCGGGGCTGGCTGTCGAAAAGGGTTGAGGCTGGGCCAAAGATGACCGAAGGTGCACTGATGCAAGAGTACCCTTGGGAAGACGATCGTCCGGACTCTGCGGGTTTACTGCAGTCCTTTTCCAAATCGAAAGAACAAAATCCGTCTACGATCTCCGAGGGCCCCCAGACCGGTGCCCGGCAATGCCCTGCAGGCCGCGCAGTGCACAGGCCTGCCGCGAGCCCCCCAGGGGCCGTGAGGACGGCGATGAGGAGGGGAAGACGGGGGAGGAGGACGGAAGGGAGGAGGAATAAAGTCAGGAAGAGGACGAGAAGGAGGAGGAGGAGGAGGAGGAGGAGGAGGAGGAGGAGGAGGAGCGGCATGCGTCTGCGGGGAGGGGCGAGACAGGTCCCACGGGAGTCCTTGAACTACCTGATCAGCTCCTTCAGTTCAACTTTGTGCCTGATCTGCTGTTGGGGCCCGGCGGCAAAAGCGTTCCTTGTGAACGAGGGGGGTCGATTCTCACGGATTCTACTCAAGTTGTGAGCGTGGTACGCTAAATCAATAACCAGAGCGTGGAAGCAGCAGGAGGAGGCGCCCGCCGAAACCCAGAGACAAGGACGGAAAACACCGAAGAGCAAGGAAAGAAGAGAGAGAGACCCAAACCCGAGGGGAGAGATGGGAGACAAGACCTAAGACATTCGACTGCGTGTGGGCACCGAACAATGCGCTCGATACAATCTCCCCCCTCCTTGTTGAAGCAACCGAGGCGGCACAATTGGGCACCCCCTCGGAAGCGACGGGACGTGGGCCAGGCGTTAAATAGGGCACGAATTGTGATTCGTGATATTCGGAGGGGATCCAATACCGAAAACGCGGGAGGATCAGACCACGAGCATTCGGCTGATTTTTTCCAAGAACCTGACTATGCAGTCTTGCAACAGCTTAGGCCTCACATCACGCGCGAATTCATTGGCGGAGTGGAATCGGTCGTAAACGCGCTTCATGGCGGCGAAAATCGTTTTCTCCTCTGGGGGCCTGCCCAACGGGGCGGCGCAATGTTCGTCATCATTTCGTATCTCGTTCAACCGCCTGTACATGCGGTCGAAGGCGTCGGAGCGGATCGCGGCCCTCAGCATGACGGCAGGTGCCATGACCTTCACAGCGCGCGCCTCGCACACGAGGCCTACTTTCTATATGTGACGCAGGGAGGCGCGGGCACACGCATGCTTCTGGGCACGCGTGAGCCTCTGGAGACCTTCGCGAGCCTTGTTGAGCACGAGGGGGCTCGGGTCGCAGCAGTGGGCGACGCGACGCGTCACGGGGCGGGCGAAGGTGCTAAAGGCGGAGAGCGATAGGTTCAGGCCCAGCTCCAGAGCCTTGATGCACGTGCACCTCTCGAACAACTTCTGCGCAGGTGCGCGCCAGCTCCTAAAATATCCGCTGGGGCTAAGGATGACCCCGAGGTATAAGCCAGAGGACCCGAGCGAGAATTTCTCGATGTTCAACTTTGGGCTGTTGTTCTGAAGCCGACGAATCGCAAAATTCGGATCGGGGATGTGCAGCATCATGATGTGGCATTTCTCCAAGTTCAACATTGCCCCCGCCCACTGGCTAGGTAGTAAGAGCTCAGAAGCCACCACTGGCAGCACCTGCAGCAAGTCCCTAGCTACCAGCCCGACATCGTCCGCGCTGGCAAGATAAACTGGTGGGAAGACTGGTGCCGTTTAATCTTCGCAAAAACGGGATGCAGGATGATCGCGAATCAAACTCCGCTCGTTGGGCATCCTTGTTTCATCCCTCGGGAGACCCAGCAATCGAAACCTCTAGCGCCAGAGATCGGCACCATCGTCCAGATCCGCGCGCGCAGAACGGCAATCGCGAAACGGACGCAGGCAGGAATGCCGAGCTTGATGGGCATGGGCTGGATCCAGCCGTGAAAGACCGACGGAAAGACCTGCTTCAAATCGAACAGCGTGGCGCGGCTGTCCTGAAGATCGCGCGGCTGTCCCCCTAAAACAGTTGATGGCATCGGCTTCGAAGAGGTTGTCGATGAGCGAGCGACCAGAAGCGAAACCCCTTCTGGGAGCAATCGACGACGTCGGCAAAGACGGCGTTAAGCGGATAAGATACTGCAGCAGAGATGAATTGATTGTTGTTGCTTGAACACAGCGGTCTAATAATACTTGGTGGCCCAGATTCAGCACCGCCCCCAGACAACGCACCCTTCGGGAGGGAAATCACTACGGGGAAATTGAAGGTGGGGTCGAGCGGGTAAAACTCCAGGAGGTGAGTGTAGTGGGTGTAGAGGGCGTCGTAGCCGAGGGTGCCGATGCGCCTCCATCTTGTGAAACTGATGCCATCAAGTCCTGGGGCCGAGTCCCTATGACGGCGCAGAAGGGAGAAAAACGTCCGTTTGGACAATCAATGCCCAAACGTGATATGCATGGGCGGTTCACATATAGGACCCCGTTGCTGGACATCGGCGAGATGCCATCTTGGAGCGGCGACTCGTGCCCCAGTACTCTGCGAACGCCTGGGCCATCTCATCAAGCTCGGCGGCGCGCGCGCGGCAAGGCTCCACCACCGAGGCCGCAAAAACCTAGGAGCGGGTCCGTGCCCGCGCAGCAGACAATCTTTTGATGCGAACTAAGTTTGCGTCCTTCTGGGCGCTTGTTAAGTCGGGGCCCTGACGGACGTCTCCCAATCACTGCCTGCACTAAACGGGCCCTAGCGGATCTTGAAAGAATTTGGCGAACGTGGGCGGCCGAGCTCGGTGGGCCGCCGGGTTCCGCGGTTCCCGGTTCAGGGTTCCCGAATCCCCCGCCCCGGGTTCTCGGTTCCCGGGCCCCCGGCCCCGCGTTCCCGATAGCGGGGCCCCCGGGTTCCCAGTTCCAGGTTCGATCGATCGATGGGGCGAGATCGATCTCGCGATCGATCTCACTACTCTCTGTCGGTCTCGCGATCGTTCTCATATTCCCACCAATTTTCTAGACCATCCACTGGCTGGGGTTCTTCTCTGGTGCAAGTCATCCCCTCAATGGTGAACTCATGGATCATAAACTGCCGAATGCGTTCCAGGAGGCCAGGGAAGTTGGGCCAGTTCATAGCCCCAGTGTCGTGGAACTCGCCCTGCCCCTCAAATCCCGAAGTGGCCCTGGCGGCCCTTCGAGTATGATCCCTTCGATGGGCCCGAAGAAGTCTCAGAAA